ATCGCCTCTTCGGAGCATTGAATGGCTTATGGTTTGAGAGACCGATGCTATACAAGTGAGTGCCGGCATGAGTGATGGCCAATGATCCGGGTATTACTCTCTTAATCCTGACCCGGGGTACTGTTTGCTTGGGATGAACGCGCATATTGTTTATTTAATTTAAATATAAAGTCTAATATATTTAGAAAATTTAGATTTTTGTACTGACTTTAAGTAATTTAAACTATAAGTGAATTCTTTGAACTAATAATAAAATTCTCTTTAAATATATATTTAGTTTTGTATATTAATTAATGCCATTTAGTTATAATTGACTTTTGAGATTAACTGAACATAATTTAGTTATGCAATATAAATGCATTCATTTAATAATGATTTTATTGCCATAATAATCATATTATTTTAATGCCATTGAAAAAAATTAAATATATTTATTTCATAATATTTGAATGGAATATCACGTTTATCAAATACTTCATAATTAAGTCTACCAGTACATATTATTGTGAAATATAATTGACTTTAAAATGCAATTACCATGTGCCATTATTCACATCACTTAATTGAGTTGTCATTTAAATGTTTATGATATTCATATTAATGAGATTTCATAATAATACATATTAATCGCACTAACAGGGGTAAATATGTCGATGAATGATATATAGCAATATTCTCTGTCATTTGTACTTTGGGAGATATATTAAAATGAATTGTTCCACGGACTTTCTGTTTCACCTAATAGATGATTAAAGTTTATGATTAGTTTCATCAAATTCTGAGTGAGAATAAGAATAAGAATATTCCTATCGATAGACCACTCGTTATATGTCTGCAACACTTCACTACATTTCGGCCTATGATTACAATTCTGTAAAACCATTGTTGATAACATTTTGTATCATTTTTGAATTTAAAATTTTATTTGGTGAATATTCAAGGTAGCTATATAATGATGAAATTTAGTATTTTAAGCTTAATTTTTAATGCTAAACAAAATCAAAAATATTTTTTAAAAACAAAACAAACGGAGATTTGTTTACATATTGTTTAAAAAGATTTATGAAAATAAATAGTTTTTAACTTTATTATCATACTGTACACAAAAGTGCAAAAAACTATTCATAATTACGATCCGGTAAAATATTTTCAAATAGTGTTTTAAAAGTGTTTTGTTATAAAATATAATTTAGGACAAAGCCATAATATTAACAAGCATATTCATCAAATTTATAGATAATATACTAATGCAAAAATATGAATGTTTTAACACAAGGATATAAATCATTTTAGTTTTTAATATTTTATTCATTTTATATTTAAAAATGAACCAATGGAAATAATCAGGGTTTAAAAAGCTATTCGTTATATAATATGTAAATTATATTAATGATTTAATCACAAGTATTGAATATACTGTACTAATAAATTCATATTACCATAAATTGATTACACATCAGCTTATATTTGTGACGAATATTCTGGCTAATATCAATGCATACAACAAAAACTTTTTAAACACTATTTAAAATACTTTTACCGGATCGTAACCAAAATATTATTACTTTAAAGTTTAAACATTAAATAATTGACGTTTTGTTTATATCGATATTTTGTATTACTAGTATTATAAAATTTCAGTAATATGAATATTATAAATATCAGGGGTATGCAAAAGTTTTGATAGGTGAAATATAGTCAGTAAAAGTTTATTTATTTTTGAACCAGGTAATTTAAATAAAAAAATTTAATATGAGAAACATTGTTTTAAAACCTCAATAAGCTGCTTAATTGATTATTTTATGCGAGCACCGGTATCTCAGCATGCTATAACTCAAAAACTATCAGGCTCATCTCTGCAAACGATACACCATTCGAAAGAGAATTAAAAATTGGGAAATACATCAAAAATTATTATATCCATATATCAATACCAACAGGACAGGAAGGGCTGGTTGCTTTCAAAACTTGATTTTTAAACAGTTATAGAATTAAAACTATAAGGGATAGAGAAAAGTTGTTTGGTGGAAAATATGCAGGATTAAATTTTCTATCGATCCGTAAAGTAAAAATTATTATTGTTGATTTAGAGCACCGGGATGAACGGGTTTTTATTAATATTTTTATAAATGGACTTATAAAATAAGTAATTAGTGCATCGAATAGAGCTAAAAAAACTAACAAATAATGCATTTTAAATTTTTAAAATATCTTGCTATATAACATTTATATGGCATTTTAAAGTTCCATTATTTATTGTTAATTTACAAATATTTGAAATGCCCTAGAATAGTTATATAGGGAGATATTTTAAAAATTTAAAATGCACAATTTGTTAGTTTTTTAGCTCTATTTGATGCATAAATTAGATATTTTATAAGTTTATTTATAAAAATAATAATAATAACACCCTTTCTTCCCGGTGCCCCAAATCAACAGAATATTTATCACTTTATGGATCGATAGAGAATTTAATCCTGCACATTTTCCACCAAACAACTGTTTTCTATCACTAATAGTCTTAATTCTATAATTGTTTAAAAATCAATTTTTTGAAGCTAGCCGCCCTCCCTGAGTTTTTGAGTTATAGCACATTTTACAAAAACTACCTGTGTTATGATACCGGTGCTCACATAAAATTATAACTTAGGCAGGCTATATAGGCTTAAAAACCATGTTTCTCATATTTATATATTTTATTTAAATTATCTGGTTCAAAAATAAATGAACTTTTACTGATTATATTCTACCTATCAAAACTTTTGCATGCCCCTAATATTTAAATAACAACTCAATTAAATGATATGAAAACATATGGCACTTGCATTTTAAACTCATTTATATTTTAAAATAATATATACTGATAGACTTAATTATAACATGTACGATAAACGTATTATAGCATTTAGATATTATTTAATACTGATTTCAAATTAAATTAACTAAATTTAATAATATATTTCGAGAATTTTACATAACATAAGTTAATAATATATTTGTATGAGTTATGGATTAGCACTTATTATAACAAATAAATTTTCTATTAAATTATAAAAATACATTGCATTTAAAATAAATATAAACTTTTTAGTAGTCTTTGTGTCAATGAAAGTGGAGTCGCATCTCGTCTCTTAACAGTTGTCAAGAATTGATAGAAATATGTGTTTTCATTGGATTTAATTCTATGCAATGTTTCGTCAAATTCCGTGCCATTCGTGAGAATATCTCTATTGATAGACCACTCGTTATATTGAGTCAACACTTCACTACATCCCGGCCTATGATTCCAATTCTGTAAAACCATTGTCGATAATATTTTGTATAATTTTTGCACTGATGAATTTAGAATTCTATTGGGTGAGTATTCAAGGTAGCTATATTGTCATAAAGATTACAATAATTAAAACTTTAATTTATGTTATATATATATATTTTTGTGCATTAATTTCAAAAGGCGTGATCCACAAAGTACATACGCACTTTGAGGAGGAGGTAGGGTCATGCCTAAACGTATGTCCCATGTTAAACTCCTATGTAAGATGGGCGTGCTGGGGGAGGGTGGGTCAATTTTTGACCAAAATTTTGCATACGTACTTTTTGGATGACGCCAAAGTAAATCATAAAATTTAGCGAATATATAATCATAGCATTAAAATTAATTTACAATATATTACAGTGACTTAACTAAATACTACATTATGATTTATTTTAATTTTTACATTACTTTAGCTTATTTGGTTCAATAAGTATAACATTCACACCAAATATTTCGCCACTTATTAGTCCCAGACTATAAATATCAGACTTCAGGCCGTATTTTTCACCCCGACCAATTTCTGGGGCCATATACCTCATGTCCCCAATATCTGCCGTATGTTTGTGTTTAGTTATGTAATGAATGCGTTTGTCGTGAACTGTAGCCAAACCGAAGTCACATAACTTAACAAATCTACCGTTCCTTACGTTGTGTGCAATCAATATATTGTCGGGTTTGAGGTCTCTGTGAATCATCTGTGGATCCAATCCATGCAAATATTGAACAGCTTCTAAGATCTGTCGAAATATTTCGCATGAAATGAAATACTCGATACAATCCATGGGATCTCCCGATTGTCTCTCAAATGCTTGTGGTTTGACTTCAAGTATATGCCGAAGATTTTGTGAACACAACTCCATCTGAATGTAACCAAAATCCTGTTCACGCCATGAGTGGTAATATCTGACCACATATTCTGATCTAACATTCACTAGATTTTGCACTTCTTTTTGATCAAAATCTGAATATTTATATAAAAGTAAATTAAAAATTATTTTACAACTAAATGTTTTTAATTACCATTAATTTCAATGCGTTTGACGGCAAATAACTGTCCATCAAATTTGTGTTTCACTTGAAATACTGTCCCAAAACCACCCGATCCTATATCGTCTCCCAACTGATCAAATGTTTTATCATAAGATTCAATAAACAGATATTTATAATAATCAATTTCAATGTGATGTGTTTTGTATGTAATCTGGTATTCATTGGCGTAGAAATCACTAAAATTATTATAATTTGTTTCAAACAATTCATTTCCGCTTATTCTGTATAACTTGCTGTTTGTCAACACAACTGCGGAGTTTGTATCAAAAATATCATACGAGTCAATTTGTGCTAAACCTATAAAATAATTGCTGCTTTTCAATTGTTCTGGTATCTTTACATTAACACGTTTATGACTTAAACTGTAATTATAAGTATAAACTCCACAAAAATATATGACACCATTGTTTGATAGAAAATACATCATAAAACCGGAGGAAATAATAGTTTTGATGTTATTTATTATAGGAATCAGTTCAGGGATTAATATATATGGGCAGAGCTCATTAACTATATTGTGTCCCAATTGATGTTTCCTATTATCACCCCAACTGAACACAAGTCCGTCACAAGTGATGGCAAATGAGTAAAAATAATAGCAATAAATGTTTTGGATTTTGGGATTATTTGCGAATTGTATTAGAGTTGGTTCAATAATACTATATTTTTGTTGTCCTCCACAACCAATCTGTCCCTCAATATTACGTCCCCACCCATACACCTGTCCATTGGATGTGAGGGCCAGTGAGTGATGGGAACCACAACTGATTTGTTGGACATTTTTGTCGTCAAAATACGAGATTCTCTCGGGTTTTAAATAAACCCCTTCTGGTGTCACATCTCTACCCAACTGTCCCCACATATTGGGACCCCAACTGAATATATGGTTCACACTATTCATAGCCAATCCAAATCCATGACCAATAATAAATGTCTGAATGTTTTGATAACATAATTCTGGTATAACTTGCGGCGAATCAATGGACTTGTTATGACCCAATCCAAGACATCCATCCATATTATATCCCAATCCATACACGATATCGTCGGTCGTTATGAACAGTATATTATGATCTAATTCATACAAAATCCAATCCTTAAAAACATGAAATAATTTAATTTTTTGTTTCATATTTGAATTGATTTTATCACAAATATTAAACTTCTCTAAAATTGAACACATTTTCAAATTAAAAAAATTAAATTTGTATTAAAAATTCTTTATTTTATTTTAATTATTAAGCAATTATTTATCATTTAATCATAATTAATTTGTTTTTAAATACTGTTAGGAATCACATAAAATAGCAAAATAATTATGTGTACAGTATATACTGGTTTACAGTATATTATTGTTTAATAATATTTTCAAAATAACAAAAATAATCATTTATTAAATAAATTATGTTTAAAACTAATTATATTATTATTTTACTGAACAGTATTGTAATAAATGAATGCAATTGTTGTTCACAAATAGATTGTGTTATTATAGCAACAGATATGCAATCAATTCACTCGTATTGTCTGAATATGTCTTAAATGCCAATCCATTGTATATTATATGCAATACTTTTGTTTAATCTTTGAATTCAGAGATAATATAAATCATAAGATATTATTATAACAAAGGGAAGGCTGGGAGGACAGGGATGAGGCACTGTTCATAGTGGACAAACATATTAATATACTAAATTTACGTATGGGTTATTTAATCATTGAATTAAAAATGTATCATACTCAGTTACACTTATATAACATTTGTTTATATATTTGATTTTAATGATTAAAGTCTAATCATTAATCTGTTCATTGCATAATAATATTTGTATATTATATTACTGTTTGTTATAACAATTAATGTGTTTTGCATTATTTGCAGTATTTCATAAAGATTGGAAATTTAATTAATTTTATATACAATTTAATAGAAAATGTATAAATAAAATTTTAAATCACCTTTGTACTCTAAAAATGTAATACGTTTGTTTAATTTTCCCAAATATTTTGCAACTAATATAAAACATATCCACATTATATTATTAATAATTTTGGTAGTAAACGCAGTGCCAATAGGACCCAGCTTATTTTATATAAATTATTCTTATTTAATATATGGATATGTTTTTACAATTTTCTTAAAGTTTTACTAATATTGACTGAATATAGCTATACTGTGTTATACGGTATGTATACAAGTTTAACATTACTATGCAATTGTTTCATACCTGTAGTAATCATTCATTTTGAAAGCATTACTATTATATCTCACACATAAAATGTTTTAATACATAAATATACACGAATATTGTTAAAAAATATCCATATATTAAATAATAATAGTTTATATAAAATAAGCTGGGTCCTATTGGCACTGCGCTTTCTGCCAAAATTATTAGTAATATAATGTGGATATGTTTTATATTAGTTACAAAATATTTGGGAAATCGTATCATTTTTGAGCTCAGGTTTTAAAACATAGATTTAAATAATTTGAAACTCATTTTACTTGTTATT